GCGCCATAAAATCAATATGGTCATGGAAAACCGTCTAATAATCATTAACAGGAAAAAAAATATTAGATGAAGTAGAGGAAGATACAAGTATTAAGAAATACCTACAAGTAAAGTTTTCCTGGGACCAGTTCTTCTAATGTGATAACTATTCATAATAACTTATTGTTGCTGACTCCAGATAATCAAAACAGCTTCACTTGATTACTTCTGTTCTTATTATGCTTCGACTAAACACACACTACCTCCAGAAAGCACAGAGTATTTTATATAGCCTAGAAGTAAATTAACGTTTATAAGTGAAACATCTATGTACTTTGGAAGATTATCCGTCATGCTAAACCGTTTCTATATTAGACAGTTTATTAGTTGACAGCGAAGAGTTTACCGAATATCAAGAAGTGACTAACGCGGACTGATCGACCGCAACCTATTACTCAGCTCGCAATGAAGTGTGCTCACACCGTAGTTTTTTCTAATTTTTCATTTTCAGTGCACAAAATCATTCCGAAAAATTCTTTTCGTCCTTCAAAAAATCTAAATAGATTACTACTGGTCATCGCGTAGGAAAATGCAGACTAGTTATTCGTCGTGTGATATGACTGAGGTAAAATGGCACCAACTAAGGGATCGTACAATTAGAGTCCAATGCCTGCAAACTAACTATCTATAGTCCCATGTGTATTCAACCGAGTTAAGTGCCATCGTTTCTATCAGAAAAGGTGAGATGTACGGGAACACTCATAGGAAAACAGCGTTCCTACTTATCCATTGAGAATTCTTTACAATTTCGGTAATAATGATCAATAATAGCTTATTACTGAACGATCAGGCTTAGGCCAGTTTTGCAGGCAAGAGTAATAACTTGAACTATTGGTTTAAAAATGAGATATTATCCCACTAGTGTTAGTAAGGAGACTTCATCATTAAATCAGTAAGAATTCGCAATAGATGGTACGTGGACATTTATTAACTAGGTATTAATTGGATTTACATGGTGAAACTGTCCAATATGTTTATAGCCGTTTTGGTGACTTTACCTTGTAAAGACATAATGAAAACAAGTTATTTGCATTTATAAGGCCTATACTTGGCAGAAATCGTTTAAAGTATGCACTGATACCGAATACCTGAAGAACTTTTGTGAGAGGATAGTCAGAGAAGCTGAGTAAGGATATGACCTGAACTCCTACTACTGCTTTCTAAAGGAAATCTTCAGATTGAACAAAACAAGTTTGGAACTTGTCATTGGCTGAAAAATATGAGCACTCGCTCATTTTTAGCCAAAGATAAAAAACAATTAACGAATCACAGAAATCTTTTTAGGTACGAGAAGAAAAAACAGTAAGAGGGTAGATGAGGTTATCCGTCAATGATAGCGTTTTACAGAGTATACACCCTGGCTGCACAGAAAATGTTATTCACCTTATAAACATAGAGCCTACCATAGAAAGCCCAACATGAAATACTCTTCATAATTTCATCCTTGCAAAGTCGTTGATGAAAAAAATAATTTCATTCACGGTTTGACTTCTATTGTTCGCATTTAAACATTAAAAATTAAAAAAACACGAAGTTCAGTGAAGGAAACTTTTTTCAACGAATTTATTATTAATCTGTTCAGTCTTATATAGGTGATAATGTCTTGTTAAAGTACTAATTCCTTGAAGAAAGGTGAACACGAATAACTTAGATGTGCAATAGAAAGATTACAATACTGGATTACGTAATACGAACAATAACAATAGATTTAGTGAATGTAATAAGATGAAAAAAGTGATTAAAAATGCTTTATCACAATAAATAAAGGCCTTCATGTGCATCTACCAGTTCACCTGCTCTTGTGGAACAAGGTACGTTGGCCGTAGTCAGCGCCCGCTTTCAACTTGTTTACGGGAACATGTCCTAGTTTGGTTCTACTGGGGTGAGAGAAGGGCAGTTAGGAGTTCTATACATAAATACTTAATCAACTGTGATCATTCTACGGATCCACAGTTTAATTTTAAGGTTGCAAGTATAATTCGTTCAAATCTACCCAGATTTCTTCGTATTCAACTCCTAAACAGAGCTGATAGTCTTACCATCCATGAGCTCAAACCAGAACTGTGCATACAAAAGAAGTACGTCCTACCGTTATCGTCACCATGGCCTTAATTAACATTAATATTATTATCACTGTATTCCCCTTCACTTATGTCTTATATTCTCATTATTTTTATCATAAATGCTCGTCGTATCACCTTATTTATTTTTACACCTCTATGGCCTTTAATTATTGCAACAAAAATGATTATTAATCTGTGGTGTTTGAATGAACTAATGATTCCTTTGTACTTGTTGAATGCTTGATTTCGAATTCCAAATACAATACATTCGTTCGTGCTTACCTAGTACTTCTTGACCCGATTACGTTATTCCTGGTATTCTTAGTTCGTACTATAATTCAACTACTCCTAATCATCATATAATCCTTTTAATGATCTTATTACATTCACTAAATCTCTTATGATTATTCGCATAATGTAATCTAGTATTGTAATCTTACTATTGCGTCGTCTTGATTATTCATGTTCACATTTCTTTGCGCAATTAGTACCTTAAAAAAAATTTAATATTTATATACGATTGTACAGCTTGATAATAAATTCGTTGAAAAGAGATCTCTTCGCTGAACTTCATGTTTTTATTGTTCTGCCGAGTTAGTTAATCACAAAGGTGTCTCTTAGCTAATCTTCCTTCGTTATTTCATCTCATGATTCTTATAAAGTGTTGGTGGAAGTTTCAAATTCAAGCATACGCGATGCATCTGAAACCTTATAAAACTAAGTTTTGAGTTGGATAATCAGAATGTTACAATATTGGTGTTAATGATTTTTGCTTGGTTCCTTTACCAACGAAACGTTTATTATGTTAGCAATTATAGTATGTATATCTGACATAGCAGGCTCGAGACTAATTGAATAGTTGTATTGCCACCAATTGTAAAGACCTGTAGATGAATGAAATGTCCCGCTCTACGAACTTGGGTGGATTGGAATCGCTTATGCTTGCTGGTTATTAACTCTATCCTCCATTTCTTTTCCATACTGGACTCATTTGGGAATAATTATTAGATTGCAATTGCTTGCTACATTTCAGTTGTGTTCCACACCTTGATAGAAAGCACTTTTTAAAAGTACCATGTATAAGCTTTTTGGACAGATAGTTTGACAGGCCGTATGTAGAAAATCGAGACATCTGGCAAAGTAGCGCACGATAAAGTATCAGTTTCCAAGCAAAACAAGTTAGTAGAAATAAACTAGCTGGTGAAAGAGTGATTGAATGAAATACTTTTAATGTAGTGAGTAAGGATTTGAAAAGCAGTGTTCGGATAGTAACATACATGGTAAAAAAGAAAACCGATAGGAGACAGATAAGGAGGGACTCACATCACATTATGGATGATTATGTTTCTTACGAACAGCTACTCAGTGTCCCAGATTTCTCACCCGAGTAATTCCTGGCCATAGTAAGTTTTTCTTAGTCGTGTTCCGAAGCAAACTGAGTGTCTAATGTGTGCAAAATTTTATGGAGTCAGTAGGAAACTCAAAAAATAGCTGTTTATTAAATAGTTATGAGAAGAATGTACGGAGTATGTAACAAAAGAAGAACGATTAGAAGATGTGGTGCGAAAACTGGAAAATATAAAACTTGAACTACGGAGGCTATATGAGAGTGAAATATTGTTAAGTGTTATGGTCACGGGGTGGCAAATTTTTAGTTACTTGCAAGGTTGGGTGTTGAGTGTGTTATCGCGACATTCACATTTAGATTATTTGCAACGGGGATGTAGAAAACATCTAGATGATTCATCGGTTAACTATTATTTTTGCTTCTATCCATTTCGTATTTCTTCGTACTATCTCAGCATGCAACGAGTCTTCAGGCTAGGTTGGAACTTCATATACTTTCACCTCATCGAGATGCAAAGTGTGATCGATAAACGAACTCACCAGCGATAAAGTGAAACGCTTACCACCACATTAACTTTCTTTAACCATGTATGACTGTCTTGTTTATTCATCAATCACAATTTTATGTTCATAATAAAACAATATTTGCCTTGTTGTCTCATTTTTCCTATCCTCTAGCTACTGTTCGGTATGTTATTTATGTTTCTGTGTTTGCCTGTGTTGATAGACTGCATTGTTTATTTTGTATGCTAATTATGATAATTAATGCTTTAGAAACAAGCAAAGTTTATCAAGCCAAATAACTTAATTGTTTTGACTTTGGTTAAACCAAGACGCTGTGCTCGATGGTCTAGAGAATAACTTAGAGTTACACCTGTAGAAAATCGCTTCCTATAGAGAGGCTTACTCACAGTGCAATTCTAGTCATATGGTCAAATTTCGTACTATGTATACAGTGTGAGGGTATCCATCCATCTTCAGTATCCCATAAAAGCTCAACATCTGGCATTTCAGAGTATATTCAAATTCACTAATTGGATGAACGCTGAATAAAACGTCATAATTCCCGCAATTGATTTCGTCTCAGGTTTCTATGCGCTTCGCAAACGTCGTAGACCAATAAAGTAAACAATGGAGAACATAGAGCTATAATGGTAATCCTCAGTGAAAAGTATGCTTTATATGCATTGTTCACCCACTAAAATGAGCACGAAATACGCCTATTGTGCACAGAAAACAGATTCATAATGTCTGTAACCTTCGGTCTTTGACAGGTAAAAATCTAACCTGAAGATACCTCAGGTGTTGAAGGAGTGTGAGGCACAGATTGTGAGAGAATAAAAAGGAGGAACTATCGAAATACAAAATGAAATTACGATTCAGTAAACTTATGGAATATGCCATTTATTACTGATCAAAACAATCGATAGCAGTTACAGGTAACACAAGCATGGGATCAGTGTACTCTGATGAACGTAACTAGAATTTCTTACCGTAAAGTTACTCATGAGTTGCATTTTTTCTGCCATCACTCAAGGCCGTTGGGACAAGGAGGTAGGTTTGATTTAGCGAAGTCAATATGGGAAATTATCTTACTTTCTATGGGTGGATATTTTATACCAATAAACGCTATGAAGTGAGCTACCTGATACTAAGTGATAAGCTTAATAGTAAAACTCTCTCACCTTGTTAAAACGTGCACATAAAGATTTGTATACATAGTTTTATTGCAATAGGATCCCCTTTGTTGTTTGATTAGGTATGGGTATTTCTAAGCCTTAAAATCTGGTCCGTACATTTCCGATTCCACTGAGGTTTGAGTAGTGTTTTATACCAAAATTGCGGTTTCCTTTCCCATACTTTAGTTTTCATCTGACGTATACGTAGTTACTGCAAGAAACTTTGTGGGATACTCAATTCATCAGATTATTTGAAACACTGCCTTTTCTCGCAAAATATTCGAGAAAGCGCTTATCCATCTTTCGAGCTGTCATTTTCAGGTACTATCACTGACATGTCTCTTAAGTAACATGTGTGAAAAGTATGCACTAAATACACGTTTAACTGACATGGTGTTCAGTGGCAATTAATTCAAAATTTGGAAGCATGGACGGCAGAATAGTATCAGCCTACCGCATAGAAAAAACTAGGGCATCCTTCATGTTTGTTTTTAATTGATAGGCAAATTTAACACTACGTGAAGCTGTCAGGTAGATGTAAGGTGTAACGACTTCTGATAGTAGATCTGTTGTGAACCGTTGATCTGACTCCTATTTAGATTGTACGAATGATTGTTATCACCTATTCTCGTATATCATCGTCGACTTAGATCGCGTTAGTCCATAACGGAATTAAATAAGTCGATTAACGAGAATGGCATTTGAATACATATATTTTGTATATGAAGTGAATGAAACAGAGCCAAGCAAAATGACGCACAGGGAGGATGGCTGTGAAGCCAACTCCATTTTAATTAAGCGTTACTCAGTATTTATAGGCAGACAAAATAAGCTACAGACATACAATGAGTCATGGGACATGAAGTGTACACACATATACGCTCATGTGAAAACAGTCAAGGCTAATAAGCGAATAATTGACAAGGTCAAAATATGGCTCAAGTAAAATGAATAAAATAGGATGTCCGGAAGTTAGAATAAGGTATATGGGCTTGCCATAATAACTGACACTACAGATCCCTTAGTTTCCAACTGTATAAGGGTTTCAAAGCGGTCTGATTGTCAGTGTAAACCTCTGGAAGATTATATGAACCGTTTTTTCTACACTACCGTTTCCTGCCATTGTTTTGGTCAGGCATTCGTACAAACTATGGAACCACATTATCCAACTTATTTCTCCAGAAGTAACCTCAGGTGTTAATCATAGTAAGACATCTGCACGCGTACTTCAATAAAACCCACATTTTTAAACAATTATGTGGTTAGACTTGGCAAATCATACAAACTGGTTGATCAGAGTTACTTCATCACAGTTACAAATAAACCTAACGCAGTCATCAAATTAGTTCATGATTTCTCGTAAACAGACAAATTGGTAATGTTTGTGAAACGATCTATAGTCGGATGAATGCAATATCTACCTGGTCTGTCGAAATACTTAAGAGTATAATTAACTGCAATCCAAAAATCTCACCTAGTAGCCTATCTTAGAATTCATGACTGACACTCCGTGGAGTAACATACTTGCGGATTTATGTCATATTAATATTCCCACTATCAAACCCAAAAACTATGCGGCTTTCTAAGCCACACCCAACGTATAAAGAGAAGACGGAGACAAAAGTTAAATGTTTATACTGTTGAACACTTCGAAACTCATGCTGATCCGTGATCCCCGCAAAAAAATACTAGATAGGGAGACATTATAGCCGCCTTTTAGTACTTGCTTTTACAATAAGTTCCGGAGATACTGTGTCACTGTTTTATTCTCGTTTCAGCTTAACAATACACACAGTTAATCGTGAAAATCTACAAGAAATAAAATGCAAGGCTATGCTTCTTATACTGGAGGCCCAGTTGGGTTTGGTAACTTGCCTGTTGTTTTATATGTCTAATCAGGTGATCCTAACAGCAAGTATATTTCGAGTACAGAACGCAGCAACGTAATTTCAAAATTTGTACAAGAGAAACTTATTAGTGAATTATGTGTAGAAGAGTGGAAAGATTGGCGAAAGTGCATACGTGGAAAACGAGGCGAGTGGTTCGGTACCTGGAAATGCAAACCTAAATATCAGATATTTGAACAGTGTCAGATGAGGTAAGATAGTTTTATCTAAATATACGTTATCACTTAAACGAAAACAAATAAAGCTGAGTCTAACCATTTATATCGGAAGCCATCCTAATATTTGCACAATGAGTCATTTGAATGCGCTTCTCTTCTTTCTTCAGGTACCTTCTAGACCTAGATGAACTCAAAAAATTTGAAGAGGAATACTTAAGTATGCGTAGTGAATATCGGAAAACTGGTGTGGGTCGCGCTTTCATGACGAAAGAACGAATACAAGAACTGTGCGAGTTGTAAATGCCCCCTTTTATAACTGTAGCACACTCCAGTTCATAAATATATATATAACTATGATTATGTGTATTTATCCAAATGTCGATTTGAAAAAGAGTAATACAAGAGGAAGTTGAACATAAGCTTTCATGATTTATGATAACATAAGTAAACGTAATTAATGCAAATCATACGGGAATTTATAGTTTTAACTCCGGAGTTAAACAACAATGAAATGCTTTACAATCCCTAATGGCAAAAATCAATTGAACTGACGCGAGACAAATGATACTGACAAAAAGTTTAACACGAGGAAGGAAATCACATACAAAACACCAAAATGGTGATTTCTTTTGTAAATGAAACAAGTTAGACGAAGATAGGAGGTCATCGACATAATGCATAGTAGGATAACTTAGTGATTAGGTTTCCAGATGCAGATTTCGCGCGTTAGCACGTGAAAATAAAAGATAGAGTAGTCCTATTGATTGGAATAACTTTCCACTTCTATGAATGCTAATAGTTTTTGTTTTGTTATTGGGGAGTAGTGCCGAACATTGAAGCTTCCCGACGACGCCTGTGAGAAGCTTCATGCTTCAACGGCTGTTTCTGACTCTGAGAATTTGGTGCGGCGTGTTGTACTGGAGGAGGTAAAGCTGTTGGTGCAGGAGCTGCTTCTTGTTTCCTATGGAAGGAAAACATTGTGTAAAATAGACTCGTGGTAGAAAGAATCCAGTAGAAAACGAAAAATTATAATCATTTATCAACCATTTATAAAAATCTTTCCATACTCAACATTTCAGGCTCGACAAGTGACAATTTTATACTAGCGAGATCACCTTTCATACACTTAGTGTGGTATACATCTCAAGGACTCACTCATCTGTACGTGTCATTAACCCACTTAGAATGAATATAATCGGCAAGGATTATAGGCTACATATCAATGAACTGATAACTTGGATGACTTCCAAAGTAAGCATAGTCCTGGAAATTAAACGAAAAATACATGAAGTATATTTCCTTAGAACATACTGTTAAGTTGATATTCAGAATGAAAGGGTTCTATAGTACTTATGTAGGCAAATATATTACTAGTGAGATAAACGAGGCGACCAACATATAAAATTACTTTGACTTTCAATCTCAAACTAGTTATTTCTGAAGAACAGCAACTAGAGTAACAGTCCTCGTTTGGGTGAATTTTTGCCAGATGGAATTGTTTTGTGTATCTCGGATTGGTAAGTGTTTCTCAATATGGGATCATAGCTAAGAGGTTAATAAAAAACTGATGCCTCTAAGATATGAAAAAAATTAGATGAAATTGGCAGATCCTAATGATTTGAAAACGTGGGTGACATGGTTCACAGTCGTTTGCAATGGTAGAGGTGTATTCACTCCAAGACTTGAGTTCCAAAATTTCCTCACATCTTTCTCTATACTTGTTACTTTCTAACGTTACTACTCCGGGAATTGTCTTGACAACTTTATGTCGCTGTGCTAACGTGATATAGCAGCATGAACCGATGTACATGTCAGAATCTAAGTTGCATATGACCGACTGTTAAGCCCTAACGTACATGATTTGACGTAAAACTTCTGGATGGCACCTCATAAGCCATGATTTAGCAATGGTTATTTGACCAAAAAACCTCTAGCAAGGTAGTGGACGCGTCTAGTACACCTTTTAATGAGACCAAGAATGTTTTTGCGTTACTAACCAACTATCTGACTGGAACTATGTTGTAAACTATGACCCAGCAAACTTACATGCTACAGGATGTATCGGGTAACAGTTTTCGACTATTTACTCTAGATATGTTAGAACGTTTCGATAGGAACGAGTTTCTGAACAGTCATTAAATTAACGTAAGACATAATTTAGTCTACGTGAATCAAGTGATTTAAATATTCATTATAGTGTACTCTCAGTTTTAAGTGCTTGCAGTACAGATTGCTTGTCTTCTTCATTTTAGATTGCTATATGACGGCGGCGACACTATTAATCCAGTCTTCTCAGGTGTCAAAAGACAATCTTCCACAGTATGTGGGTCTGAGAAATGATAAGTGCCCTCATACTTTAAGGTCATTTTGTTTACACTCAAATCTCTTATTCACTGCTTCATCTTTTTTCTGTTTTCAGTATCGCCCGTCCTCATCTAGCTTTGAGTTTCATGTGTCACTAATGTGAACAAAATGCTATTTCTGGTCAGTAACTATGGTTTAGATAATCATTTATTCTTAGCAAGTACCATCATAAAGAGAGACACTATTCAACCAGGTGACCCCCAAGATAGACAAAAGTAGACTGCCTTGCTACCAGCTACCATTCATGTGTGTGACAGAAGACGACCGCTTCTCATAGAGCGTGCATTTTGATGCGTTTTACTGGATAAAATACAGCGCTAATACTACTAATTTAAACCAAAAGTTAGGGAAATAACAGATTTTATAAGCTTTTACTGAATTGATGAAAAACGACTTCAAAGTAAACTGACAACGATCACGGACAATTGTTGACAAAAAAAGCAAATTGGATTGAGGATGCAACAGCAATGGGTAACACTAGGTACTATAATATCAGCCGTCGGCGAGACTACTTCAGAAAAAGACAACGGCAATTCACTGCTCAGCGAATTGTAATCATGGATAGGGAACTTTAAGAGATATTTTAACTGACTTTCATTCTTTCCCAAGTTACCCATTACTTTCAAACAATCTAACACAAGTCGCCCAAATATTTGCGAAATTCAGAAAGATCATATCTAAATTTAAACGAAGTAGCGCAGTATGATCTCTTAGGTTAACACCAGATATCTTTAAGGATAAGGGATCAGTTTCATCACTAAGGTTGGCTGCGACACACTAGAGATAGTCTAAAAATGGAATCTAGTCATATCTGACTGGTCTTTATCAGTGATTGTCCCAGCCTATAATAAAAGATTGGGATCATGTGGCAAGTTTAGAGAAATCTGTTTAACTAATAAAGTTTAAAATATCAGTTCCTACAATAACCCAACGCGCAAGTAGAATTTCAAAAGGAAACATGTTTCCGACCTGGACGTAGATGTATTGACCAAAAATTTGATCTCAACGAGGCTTTAAAATAGATTCAGACATATTGGTACCCAACTGATTAGTACTCTGACTAAAGAGCACTGTCTGACCTTTCCAATCCAAAGGTTTAGTGCCAGTGTTCGCCATTAAATGGCATATACCAGAAAGGCAAATAAACCTCGTGAAAACTCCTTTAATTGGGCACTAATAGTTAAGTTAGACAATCACACAAAGGTACTTTCTTTTTAACCATATTTTCAATGTTTATATTATACTACTATTATTTAGACTCTTCAGTTGCTTTGCTAATTTCACAGAATCGTGCTGATGTGGTATGGCAGCTTGTGTCAAAATACTTTTCTGCCACTAAGTTGATTGTCGCAGACTGATTCATACAATTTTGAGAATCATTATGAAAAGTGAAAATCTACTCCGATAGATTACACTGTTGACAAAGCTTAATCAATATAAGGAAATAGACAATATAGCATAGCTTTTTGTATAGACCCCATTAATGGGTAATTCATGATACAAAACAACACCGCTCTCCTTCTATACATATATAAGAAAGTTGATAGCATTCCTGCGAAATGAATAAGGTAACCGTTTTATTGAGTGTTTAATTACCATCCATTTATACTAGCATATGTATTGGGTTACCATGAGTGAGGTGAGACTCCAGAACCGCAATTACTTATCCCCTAGCCCTAAATCAATATGATTTTACTTTGTATTTGTGTAAAATCAATGCATCAGCGAAGGAACATCAGTTTATCGTAATCCATAAAACAAAACGTAGATATTATCAATCGGAAGAACAATGCAAATTTCGTGAACCTGGAATCAATCGACAGTTCTAAAATATATTTATATACACTGGAATTAAAATACATTATCACATAAGAACAAGATTAAGTTGTTGGTGTGAATTAATAGTTAAAACGTTCAACTTTCAGCCACCAAGTCCCGGGTTTGAACCCCCGCTCCATTTACCTTTGTTTGGGCAACCGGATAGCATTATCACATGTGACTGGTGAGTTAAATTAATTATCACATAAAATAAAGTTGCGAATGAGCTTATAAGAGTTGTTTATACCATGCGTTGCTCAATAATACGGAGAGCATACGCCGTTCAAACAGCTCATAATAAGTTGAGAATACCTAAACTTTGCACACTGGTTCATACTTTTTATATCAACCATGTGAAAGTCAAAAATGACTTTATGAACAAAAATCTATATAACTACCTTACGGGGTGAAGGTATAGTATACTGGCGGCTCGAGTTAAAATAACGTTTTATGTATTTAGGTAGAAATTTAAAGTGCAGTGGTAGATAACTATTAACGGATAAAAAATAAGTAATATTTGGTTCTTAAGATTATTGAAATCAGTAAAAATACCTATTATCCAACAAAAAAATTGAATTTTAGGTGGCGCTTAAGCTAAATTGCAAAACATGTCCGCTCCTAAGGCAGATTGTGTGTTAAAGTACTTGATGTGATTAAGTGCGTAGTTCAGTTTTTAGTGAAACTAAATAATATTCCCTCTCTAACTCTAAATCTTAAGCTTGTAAACAGAAGGGAAACAAAACATTGTGCCATACCTGATATCGGCTGATGAAAACCATAAATCTTATTTGCAAACCCAAATCAGAGCCTTAGCTTAAGTCTGACCATTTTGCATCACAGATGGTGACGAGAACTTTATAGGATGATAACCCCAGCTCACAACACTAATATGTGAACATAACCTTTTCCTTTTACTACAACCAATAATTCGACACGTAAAGGCTGATTATTTAGATCAAGACTACTATACTACTGTATTTTATTGTCTTTTGCCGTTAATTGTTTAGTAATTAGGCAGTTTCTTGATCGGCTGATAAATCATTTAAGTTCGTCAGTATCGCATACCTTCACCTCAATTGTCTAAAAAACTCACTAAACATAAGTCTCAAACAAATTTTGATTGTTCAATAATAAATGAACAGTTTAACAATGTGCACCTTAAATGGTAAAGCAATCCTCAAATGTTTATTATTGGTTAAGTGACATGATAAAAACTGAATATCAGCTAAATAAAGTATGTAAAAATGAGAAGTGCGAGAAACATATGTGGAACAGGTTTGTGCAGGATGATGATGATCTGTTATTGCGCATAGAGAAACAGAAATCTTATGTTCTTACTAAAATGCAATCAATGACATAACAAAATAATCATATAAGATATTACTCCAAGTAATCAAAAGAGCCGACCGACTAGTCAAC